TGAGAGAATATTTCTGGAAGAGCGTAATGAAAATACATGAGGGATATGAGGTAAGTTGCTGTGAGCAGCTTTTATATTTTAGATTGTAAATGCACATATGTTCATTATGCTATTGTTTTGAAATTAACATCTAATCATTAATTTCGCTTTTAACAAAGACTCGGATAATAAATTAACGAGCGAGTCATATTTCAAAGCTTTCCCCGGCAAACAGTAATTGCAAAAAAAAAAGCAAAAAGCGTGCTGAGAGCAGGACCCGAGCCTGCAAACCAAAATACTTACTGTACCATCTTTCAGTCGCAACAAACGCACATGTTCTTTTTACGTAGGTGACCTCAAGAAAAAAAGTGCCCAGGTCTTATTCCAGTCCGTTTCGCAGATATGGAAGACAGGTATGCGATACCTATGCCAAGGTTGTTATTCTGGTATAATCTTGCTTTGAATGGTTATTTCGAGTAAAAAGCATTCCCTTGTAAGTAAAGTTATTAATTTAGCAATGCCATGCTTTCTTAAACATAAACTGCATTTTAGCGCCAATTTTCTATATGGAATGATCGGTCTTCTATTTAGCGCAATATAAATTCAGTAACCAAGCCAATCCCAAATTATTTCTATTTTTGAAAAACTTTAAAAAAGATTCAACAACTTGCATTCTTATTTCAAGCCCCAAATTGAAAGAAGATTGTGGGAAATAGTATAAAATTGATCAAATCAGAGTTCGTGGCACATAGAATAAGGTGGTACACTCTTTTAAGGCCTGAAAAGTGTCAAGAAGAGTCAAGAGTACTGCATCAACTCTACTATCTTACTTCCGGCTTAACAAAGAGCATTTATCAAAAAGAAAGTAAGAGATAAAGAGCTGGATAGTTTCTTTGGGATTAGTTAGCAACATATTGACATACCGATAAATACAGTGAAGATTGACAAAATTGCTACAGATGGAGCTATAGAGCCAATACTGAAGCCTAAGAAGCATAATGATGCACCGGTCACTATACTTATTCGTGCTCCAACGAATTGATAGACCATTGCAGCTATCGGGCCTATAAGGGGATAAATTATTAGGGATGTTGTCTGTTTG